GTAATTTTTAATCCTTTTGTTTCAGCAATGTAACGACGTGGGATTGTAATTTTTAATCCTTTTGTTTCAGCAATGTAATGATGTGGATTGTAATTTTTAATCCTTTTGTTTCAGCAATGTAACAACGTGGGATTGTAATTTTTAATCCTTTTGTTTCAGCAATGTAATGATGTGGGATTGTAATTTTTAATCCTTTTGTTTCAGCAATGTAACGACGTGGGATTGTAATTTTTAATCCTTTTGTTTCAGCAATGTAACGATGTGGGATTGATGACATACCTTGGAACTTTGACAAAAGGTTGTAACACTATTAATCAGGTATGTATTTAACTTGATATAGATGTTCATCAGTCTTTGCTACACCACAGTAAACATTTTTTTTAATGTTAACATGTTTCTTTTTCTGTTGGTGTTCTTAAGAGATAGAATAGTTACTAGTTAAATTGAAACAAAAAGCTATAATGCACAAATGATGACAAGCTCAAGTGTAGCAGTTTTAAAGCATGTAGTAAAATTAAAAAATGCTTATGACATTTTTAGACCAGTGCCACTGGTTAAAACAAAGGTGCCGTGAGTTGACCCTGTGGTAGAGCTCTAGATTTTGGAGATGGTGAGCAGGTTAGAATTTGTGTGTTACCACCATGTATACCCACACTTTTAGCTATACATGCCTTATGAGAGTGACAGTCAATCCCTTAACATGGATGCTGCTGACTTGCTGTTTTCCTTCTGTTCAGTAGTTCAAAATTAAGAATTGAGGCAAATATCATAATCAACTTATGTTTTTGTGTATTAATAGAGAACACATTTTAAGTAACTGTTATATAAATATTTAAGGGTATGTCATGAAAGATAGAGCAATAAGTTTGATAATGCTTCAGTTAATGTATTTCTGTACAACTTTCATTAATGAAGTTGCATTTAGTTTAAAATTTCCACAAATCTCAGACTTGATTTGTGTTTTCTTTAAAACCTAAATACATTTCAAATGTTTGTTTTCACTAGAACTTTATATTTTTATCTGTTATTTTTCTACTCTAACTCTAAACCACATTGGTCAATTTGACTGATCTCGTAACCAACCAAAAAAAATAAAAAATCTAAATCTAAAGTACCCCCCTTTTTTTTCTTCAATAATGACTTCAAATTGTAACATAAAACTACATTTGTTTATCCTATGTAGCTTTAAACTCGTAACAGTATAGATCTATTTATAATTAAATATTATTGTTTTATTGCCCTTTGTGCCATTATAAGATGTAAATCACTTGGGGAATGTGGAGGTTGCGTTATGCTATTGAATTACATTACCCATGAGCTGCTTGCGAGCCTTGTGAAACATTTTTATTCAATTATTATTATTTATTTTCTATAATCTGACTTTAACCAACCTAAAGTGATCCCTATTTTTACATTTTAGTTACTTTTATAATAATAAATAAAGAATAAACATGAAATAAAGTACTTACCCGATCGTTTTTTTTTCTTGCTGTTGATTGTCGATGACACTTAA